GTATCTGTGTGTCCAGCTGTAGGTAAATACATTCATATTTATTTGCTGTCCTGGGAATTGACCCCAGAGCTTCATACATGTGAGGTGTGTGCTCCCACTGAACCACCTCCCGGCCTCCCAGGGACTTTCCTTTTCCTTAGGGAGTGCACCTGACATTGCTTGTGGTTCCGGGCCCCTCCTGGCCGTGCTGGGCCTCAGGCTTAAGGTCTCTTGCCTGCCAGACTTGCGCTCTGCTGTTTTGAGCTACCTTCCTGGACCCCAGATGTTTTTAATTAGCATTTTTTAATTTTAATGTGGTCATATTGACTAACAAAAGCTGTGTATTTTAACTGTGCAGTGTAATGATTGTCTATATCTGTACATTTTGATATGCCACAGTCAAATTAATGAGCACATCTGTCCTTCACAGTTTAATGAGCACATCTGTCCCTTCACAGTTGCCTTCTGTGTGATGAGAACACCTTAGATCTGTTCTTTTATGTGTACAGTACGGTTTTACTAACGGGAGTCCCTGTGCTGGGGGCTTCCCGGAACTTAACTCCTTTTGTTGCTGGAAGTTTCTCCCCTGGGCCAGCATCTTGCTGTTTCCTCTGCACCCTCAGCCCTTGCAGCCTCTGCTGTGCTCTCGGTTCTCTGGACTCAGGCTGTTCAGTTTGCACATAGAAATCCTTCTGTGTCTGACTTATTTCACTTAATGTGGTGTCCTCTAGGGTTACCCACATTGTCACAAATGGCTCTTCATCATAGTTTAGAATGGATGCTCTTTGTCTAGATACAAACAACTGATTTTTTGTGTCTACTAATTTGTATCCTTTTACCTAATAAATTATCTAATTGTTTCCAACAGTTTCTCCATGTGAGTTTCTGGTTTTCTTGACACACCATTACACCACTGCAAATGGTTCTTTCTACTACAAGTTCGGTTTTTGACCTTTTTTTTTCTTTCCTCCAACTGACTTGGTAGTTCCTGGAGATGTTTGACACCCTAATCTTTAATGAAAATAACTGCTATAAACGTGATGCTCTATTTTGGCTCAAGAAAGCTGTTTGACTTAGAATTAAGTTATGCTTTTCCCCCCAAACACCTGGCGATGCGAAGGGGACCACATGGGATGTGAGGCTCGAACCTGGTTGGCCACATGCAAGGGAAGTCCTTTACCTGCTGCACTATCTCTCTGGCCCAAATATATACATATTTTTTAAAATTTTGTTTTAATAGGAGCTTAAAAATCAAAGACATAGAAGAAATTTTATTTTTTTAGCATCTTTTGAGATAAATAATAAAATTTAGTAAATCAGTAGTACTTTCATAATATGTATCCTTGTGTTTCTGAGTTTAGACTGGGTGGTCCTTACTTATCACTGGATTGTAGTTGTAAAAGTCCTAAATATACTAGCATTAACATCAGTGATGAGCGCTGGTCTATATGTGATCTTTTGTTTATTTGGAAGCTGTTACCTTTGCCATGTTTAGTCCTTAACATCATTCTCACTTTCTCTGTCATCATTGTTCTGGTTAAGTTAGGCATTTTTTCCCCAAATTTTTTTTGAGGGGGTACTTTTGGGCTGGAGCAATAGCACAGTGGAAAGGTGTTTGCCTTGCACGCAGCCAACATGGCCGACCCGAGTTCGATTCCTCCGCCCCTCTAGGAGAGCCTGGCAAGCTACCGAGAGTATCTCGCCCGCACGGCAGAACCTGGCAAGCCACCCGTGATGTATTCGATATGCCAGACACAGTAACAACAAGTCTCATGATGGAAATGTTACTGGGCCCACTCGAGCAAATCGATGAACAACGGGAGGACTGTGACCATGTGACTTTTGGAGTCACACCCGGCAATGCCAGGGGTTACTCCTGGCTTTGCACTCAGGAAGTACTCTGTCAGGGCTCGGGGGACCATATAGGATGCTGTGGATCGAGCCTGGCTTGGTCATGTGCAAGGCAAACATCCTACACACTGTACAATAGCTCCAGCCCCAAATTAGCAGGCATGCTTACTGTTAAAGTTTCCATCCATCTGAATAGAAATAATCAAGCCTTTGGCAGGACTGTTTCATGGAAAGATCTTAGGCTTTTCAGTGGTAGAACTTTACAAGAAAAAAAATGGGTTCAAGAGATGAACAGAAAGTTCCTCAAAGAAGAAATACAAATGGCCAAGAGGCATATGAAAAAATTCTCTATATCACTAATCATCAGAAAAATACAAATCAAAACATCAGTGAGAAATCACCTCATGCCACACAGACTGGCCATCATCAAAAAGAACAATGACCAATGTTGGTGAGGATGTGGGGGAAATGAGACCCTCATTCACAGCTGGTAGGAATGTCGGTTGGTCCAGCCTGTTTGGAAGATAATGTGGGTATTCCTCAAAAAAGTAGGAATTGAGCTTCTGTAGATTCAGCAAATCTACTCCTGTGGATATATTCCAAGGGCCCTAAAACTTGACGCAGAAAAGACATCTGCACTCTTATGTTCATTGCAGCATTATTCACAAATAGCCAGACTCTGGTAGCAGTCCGAATGTCCAAGAACAGATGACTGGATAGTGGTACATAATGGAATACTGCTTGGCCATAAAAAAGGTGGAGTCCTGCAGTTTGCTGCTACATGGATAGATCTGGAGAGTATCGTGTTGAGTAAAATCAGTCACAGGGAGAGGAATAGACTCAGAATGATCTCTAATGTGTGGGATATAAAAAAAATTCATAGGAGAATATCAAATAGAAACAAAAAGCAGAAGCGATCTTCAGTTTGAATCTTGAACTGGGGTGGATGGGGGTGGGGAATAGGTTAGGGAAGGGAACAGAAGGACCTTGGGAGAGGGGAAACGGGGCAGGAGAGAAACTGGGGACACTGGTGAAGGGATTGGTGTTAGGAACATTGCATACCTGAAACTCAGTCACAGGTATCTTTGTCACTTCGTAATTCATGGTGACACCATTAAAAAAAAGAATCTGGGTGTTGCAGGGCGGACCTGGAACTGCAGGTCAGCCTTAACAAGCTGCGTGCTGCTTCCTTCCAGAGGGCTGACACTGTTTGCTGTGCGATGACGGAGCCAGGTATGTGCATTACCCAGCCTGTCCATCTCGGCCCTGGCCTTACGGACAAAAAGTCACAAATGTGTTTCATTCCATCCTGTTCTGTTGCCTTTTGTTATTTGCTTATTGTTATTTTTTAATTTATTAGAAATGTGTGACTCTACTGATTGCTGTTCACTGTTTTTCCATGTGAAATATTTGTCAATGTGTTTTAGATCTGCCCGAGAAGCTGTTTGTGGGCATATTCAGAGTTGATGTCTTCATTTCTGTGTTTAACTTTGTCCCAAATCCTGTACCTTCTCTCTTGGTTTATGTGACTTGACTCCACATAGATGCCTATGTACCAGGGGTTTCAGATTCACTCACGTCTTAGAGAAATTACTTTTCCTGATGATCCCGTTAATACCTTTTGTCATGTGGTTTAAGCATTGTTCTCTAGAGGCTGAGGGGTGTGTTGACGCCAGGATTCCGGTCTCTGTCCATTCCTCTTTGAATTGTTTTAGTATTCTCCTTTCAGATCTAAACAGAACGCTAAAGCTAAATCGCTTCCAGTGAAAATTCTGGTTGCTCAGAAGCAGGAAAAAAGTACCGTTAGGGATTCAACTGTCTATAGGAAAGGGTTGCTGGTTTGGGGGTGAATGGGCTTCAGATCTCAGTTGAAATGCTGAAATACTGTTTTCTAGAAACACTGCTTAGTTGCAGTCATACGGTATATTTAAGAACCTATTATATATCACAGTGCTCGCCAAGTAGTGGAAAAACTAAGATAAATGAGAAATGTGTTTCTGGTCTTAGAATGCTTCCAGAAGATAGCTGTAAATAGACAATGGCAGGATATTAGGGTAGGAAATGTGACAAGGTGGGTTAGAGGAGGAAAGATTAATCACTAGGGAGTTTTTAGGGGTGCTTTCCTGCAGGGGGTGACATTTGGGTCGTGTTTGTATCTGTGAAGCATTTTACCAGGCCTCCGGGGAATAGTAGAGGCAGCAGTGTGGAAGTGTGACCCGGGTGGGACCAGGAGGGACAGGCTCTGCATGTCCTCAGGACAGCTGGTGAAAGGGGTCTTCGGCAATAAGTAGGGTGGACACGTAGAAGTTTCTATCTCAAGTATTCTCATTCATGATCTGAGGGAGTGGAACTACTTTGTCTGGGAAAGTGTTGTTCAAATTCAGCTTAAATGAGCGTCTTGGAACCACAGCCGCTGCTTATATTAGGAAAGACTCGCTGTGAAGCCAGTCCTAGTGTAGCTGAGGGATTTTTGTCTCTGTTAATCAGTCTGAAATGTCGGTGATCTCATCTGCACAAGAGCGTCAGCGGTGGGCCTTGCTGGGGTGAGTGCTCGCCCTTCACCCTTTGTTCCGGCCCTTCTGGGTGTCATGTGCTTGGTTTCAGTCTGGCCGGGCATTGCAACACCAGTTGTTTAGTTTCTGTTTTTGTGCCTAATATACATGTGGGTAGACGCATAGGCACTACTCATATGTGCGCGAAAGTAAGAGTGTGTTGTGTGTGTGTGTGGAGGTGGGAGGCACTCAGTGTAGTGCTCATGACTCACTCCTGGTTCTCAGTTTAGAGATCACTCCTCGCTGTGCTCAGGCTAGTATCTCTAGTGCCAGTAACTGAACCTCTGTAACTGAGCCTGGGTTGACCCTACCCACTGTCTTACCACTCCAGCCCCAAGAAGAGTAATTTTTTTTTTTTTTGCCTTTTTTGGTCACACCCGGTGATGCTCAGGGGTTACTCCTGGCTCTGCATCCAGAAATCACTCCTGGCGGTGCTCAGGGAACCATATGGGATGCTGGGAATCGAACCCGGGTCGGCCGCGTGCGAGGCTAACGCCCTCCCCACTGTGCTGTCGCTCCAGCCCCAGAAGAGTAATTTTTATTCTCCTCTTCTCTCCTCTGTTTTTCCATGAATTGTATGATTAGGAAGGCTGGGGATGACCAATATAAACCATTAGTACAAAACAAGTTCAGAAGAATCTTAACATGTTTACAATTTCATTGGCATTTTAAACTGACCAGACCCCTAATTTAATACTAGTTTAAAAGAAGCCCTGGGATGAAATAAACATAACGAGGTTGTAATTCATGTTTCATAATTTTCAGGCTTGCTTGTGGATACTTTAGGTGTTTTTGCATTGAATATTCGAGGAACAGACTAAATGTTCTTTCAGTAGCAATGTAATTCAGTCTCTAAACATCCTTGCTGTACCCAGGGCGCTGTCCTCCTAACTGTACTGAGTGCCGCCGTGCTGGGGCCGGTGTTTGGGTGGGGCCCAACACTGACACCTAGGGGCCGTCGTGGCTGATCTGCACTGCGTTGGATTTAACCCCATACTCTGGTTTACCTATTTCCTTGGCTTTCATAGTCTCACTTTATCATCTCGTCCGTTACATCCTTTGCTCACTTTCTGTGACTTAGCGTGAGGCTGGTTATTTCACAGACTCCGGCAGGAAGGTGTGTTACACCTTTGCCCAGCGGTCACACCCTGATGGGCTACACCTGGCGGTGGTGCTCAGGGCTGACTCTGCTCTGCGTTCTTGGATCACTCCTGGCAGGCTCAGGGACCATAGGGGTGCCGGGGGTTGAGCCTGGGGTCGGGCGCGTGCAAGGCAAGCACCCTACCCATTGTACTATCACTCCGGTCCCCTGGGTGCTTTCCAAGATGATTTTAACTCAGGTTTGACTCTTGCTCTTTCCTCCCCGCCTTCCCTCCCGGGTAGTCTAATTGTGCACCAGTTCCACAGCCCATAAAGATGATTCTCCTAGAGACTGAACCATGTGATGTGACTTCATTCTTTCCCTTGTTGGGGATGTTACCATGCACCCCATGTGGATGGAATGGAGCAAATTTGGAAGTCTTTGAAGAGTCCTTAAAGATTATAAAAAGGCTCCTTAGAAGTTTTACGGCAAAATCAAGTACTTTTTTCGGTTGTGTTTTGTTGGGTTTCGGTAATTACTGCTAGAGATGCCTTATATTCATTCTGCTTACAGCCAGGTGCTTTTTCCATTTCCAGTGAGTTGTTCATTTAAAGTCCTCATGGGCATATGTCCATTAATACTGCCATGACGTTTGCAGTTGGATTTCTGATGACTTAGTTGAAAATTAAAACCTTCCTACGGTCTTTCATACTTGGAAAGCGCACTTCTGTTTTCGTAGGTGTCGTTTCTGTCCTGCAGTAGTAAATAATAAGCCATATTTAAGGTTCCAGCACCAATGATACCATGCTGCGGGCAGTAGGTGAACTGCTTTACTGGCTTGCCTTCTGAGTCCCAGGTAGCCTTCCAGTAATTTTTTTTTTAACCATAGAGAAATTTTATTGTAAATCCAGTGTTCTGCCATCCCACATCCAGTTATGTGTTGCCGTGACCCATAGTGGAATATTAACTGGGGGGCCGGAGTGAGGGCGAGTGGAGTGCTTGCCTTGGACACAGCCAGTCTGGATGCAGTCCCAGGCACCATGTCTTGTCCCCCAAACCACACCAGGAGTGATCCCTGAATGCAAAGCCAGGAGTAAGTCCTGAGCACAGCAGAGTGTGGCCCAAAAATTAAAAATAAAAACAATGTTACCTAGGATACAGGTCTTGCCTTCGAATCTTTTAAATTCAATATACATATATATTTTTTGGTTTTCCAGGCAGAGCTCAGGGGGCCATGGAGATACTCTTGGCGATTCTCAGCCTGGTGCTTCTCAGGCCCAGTAGTGCTGCGGGCCCATATGGTTCCCTGTGTCCTCCCCCCCCTCCCCCCCTCCATACTACCTGGGCGTCCGCCTGCCAGACGTTTTCTCTCTAGCCCTTTACGCTGTCCAGATAACCCTAGGCTTTTTTTTTTTTTTGCTTTTTGGGTCACACCCAGCGATGCACAGGGGTTACTCCTGGCTCTGCACTCAGAAATCACCCCTGGTGGTGCTCAGGGGACCATATAGGATGCTGGGAATCGAACCCGAGTCGGCTGCGTGCAAGACAGATGCCTTGCTTGCTGTGCTATTGCTCCAGCCCCTGGCCCTAGTCATAAGAGCAGGTGCTGGAATAGAGTGTGATGTGACTGAAATTTAATCTTTTTGTTAGATGACATCGTCACGTCTAAGTCACTTTGTGCCAGAGACTTGCCACAGTTCTTCCTTGTAGTTCTGTCACCAAGCCAGTCACCTTGGTCTCTGCTGAAAAAGATTCCCTGACCTCAATAAGTCAGAGTGTGAAAAGGCACTTATTTATCATCATTCCAGGCGGCCTCTTAGGTAATTTGATTGTTCCTTATGTGCTTATACATAAGGAAGGAGGAAATGACTTGGTTAGACGAGAGGTTCCTAAACCTCCTGCCTCCCCTTACAGAAAAAATATCACTCATCCCCAGCCTGGCTAGTTCCAGCTCTGCACTCCTAGTTTCGGGGTGGGGGACCTATCCCTTGCTTGTCTGTTCTTTTTAAGACTTGGATTCATAAACACGCCTTAGGGCAGGACAGATAGTACAGCAGGTAGAGCATTTGCCTTGCAGTCAGCTGATGCTGTTCAGTCCCTGGCACTATATATAGTCCCCTGAACCCGCCAGGGATAATCCCTGAGCACTACTGGGTATGGCCCAGACACCAGACTCAACCCTCCCCTCCAAACCCAAACCACCCATTATCTGGGAATTCTGTGCAAATACCTCTTGACTTTGGGGAGGGGGAAAGACCTTTACTGGCACATAGTCTGATCCTGGGGCCTGGAAACTGAGTCTGACTCTAAACAGCATCACAGTTGAAGGGCCTGTTTATAAAGAGCTTTACAGAAACACTGCCAGAATGAGAATACATCATACGGAACGTGGACATATTCCTTCTGACATTCCAATCCTAAAGACTGAAGACAAATTGTGTGTGTGTGTGTGTGTGTGTGTGTGTGTGTGTGTGTGTGTGTTGCCAGGGACCAAGCACATGCCTGGAAAGCCCCCACTGTTCCTTTAATTTACAAAAAGGATCCCTTTCATTATTAAAAATGGTGCCTGTTTCCTGCGTATGTCTGAAAGATGCCAGCCTGGTCTCTGGTTACTATTGTATCAGATGTTCTTTGTCATTTTGGGAAAATCTTTTTGTCTCTCATAATAGAAAACTTGATCATTGACAGCTTGTTGGAAGTTTAGTAACTTTAGCCAAACATGTTTTATAACTGCATTACATCTTTTTGACGTATTGTACTCACAGGTGGATGGCTTGTTTCCACGTGTCTTTTATTATATAGTTCTTGAGCGATTTCCTGAAAAATGCGCCGAGCACTCATTTTCTGGAAGTTTGAGAAAAATATGTCTCTCTTAGTACAGTAATTGCATAACTGTATGATTGCACATCTTTAGGGCTTTTCCTTTCTTTATTGCCATAAGGCTCAAAACTCTCCCCACCAGCATATCTCAGATACCTAAAATTAACTCATATTTATATTAAGTAGAATTTATGGTTGAAAACGATCAACTTTAAATCACAGCTTTTTTTTGAGAGAAAAAATTCTTGTTTCATTATATTTGTGTACTTTTCTATTATGTATATATACTAGAACTTCTTTATCCATTCACCTATTGTTGGGCAGTTGGGTTGTATCTAGATCATGGCTACCATAAATAATTCTGCAGTAAACATGGGATTACTAATGACTTTACAAATTAATGCTTTTTTTTAATCTTTGTAATTTTTTTAAAAATAAATTTATTTATTGAATCACTGTGGGAATAGTTAACAAAGCTTTCGGGTTTAAGTTTCAGTCATAAAATGATGAAACACCCATCCCTTCACCAGTGCCCATTTTCTACCACCAAAAACCCCAGTTTTTCTACCACCAAAAACCCTCCATCCCAACCCTCCCCCTGCCTGTGTGGTAGATTATTTCCACGTTACTCTCTCTTTGATTACATTTAATATTTCGACACCAGACCCACCATTATTATCTGGGATTTCCCCCCAACACTCAGACCCGCCAAAAAGGCAGCATTAGACATTTTGTTTTCTATTGCTGGTTATGAATAGCATGATCATGGTCACGGTCCCCCCGTTGTTCATCGATTTGCTCGAACGGGCCCAGTAACATCTCCATCATGAGACTTGTTACTGTGTTTGTCATATTGAGTACGTCACGGGTAACTTGCCAGGCTCTGCCGTGCGGGTGAGATACTCTCGGTAGCTTGCTGGGCTCTCCAAGAGGGGTGGAAGAATCGAACTCGGGTTGGCCATGTTGGTTGCGTGCAAGGCAAACACCTTTCTGCTGTGCTATGGTTCCAGCCCGTATGAATAGCATATGATTCCATATTTCGGAATTGTGAAATTTTAATAATTAAGTCTGGAGGTATTTCTGCCAAAAGCTGCTGGGTTCCAAGATTCGTTTGTGTGTCTCTGAGATCATGGCCATTAAGGAGCTTAATAAGTAACTGGAGGGGCCATTTTGGGCAGCAACTTGGGGTCTCATCGGGGCGGGGGAGGACAAGGGCCGGCTCCACCCCCGTCCCATGAGGTCCTGAGTGTCTTATCACTGCTGGCCCGTACCTGTCCAATGGCCTCTGGAAGATGGCGACCACTGGGCCACCAGGGGAATAGGCGGAGGGACACCTCTTCCCGCCTGGGGTGGCCTGGCACAGCTTACTTCTTAAGACTTTCTGTGAGTTTCTCAGTAGTAGAAACTGGATCTACCATGTTTTCTCCATGGTTGTTTTTTTGTTTGTTTTTAAATATTTAGGATATTTAATAGTTAGGACTGATCACAGTTTAAAAGATACTTTACGAGGTTTGTCCTGTACCTTTTGTGAGTCTTCTGTTACTTTGTTTCTTTGACACTTAGATTTTGTCTGTCAAGAGGAAAGAAAATACACATATGACATTTCATAGACTCAAAACTGTTGTCTGTTGTCCCACAGATCCCTCCTGCCTGAATAAGATTAAACTAACAAAATATTTAGGTGGATAAATAGTAAGAGCCAGTAACTTTCATGTCATTTTTTGAGATGCATTCCTCAATAAAATAGCAACTCAGGTTTGTTGGGACTGTAGGGTCTTTTCAGTATGCTTGGTTCCAGGGATTGAACTGAGATCTTTTGCATGTAAAACGTGGACTCTGCCAGCGAACTTTATACACTGAAATACACATCACACACATGTACTATGATGTGTAGCATATAAACAGCCAGAGATACTCCTCAGAAACTGCCTTTAAAAATATTTTAAGAGAAGCAAACAAAAACTGAAACAGCAAAAAATAATATCTGTCAAAGAGACAGGCTGGGGGACATTGGTGGGGGGAAGTTGACTGGGGATGGGCTAAGTAATGGGAAATCGCACACCTGAATCTCAGCTGTAACTAACTTTGTAAACTCTGATGCTTAAATAAAAAATAAATCATAAAAAAGGAGGGGGGGAGTCTTTTTAAACACACTTTTTCCCCCCAAGGAAAAAAAATTTTAAGAGAGCCTGTAATCACTGTCAGCCCTCTGTTACTCCGAGAGTCTATTCTTCGGCCTTTGTTAGGTAACAGGAAGCACTCTCCATCTCCCTCAGCAAAAAGCAGTTTGGAACAAAGTCATAAGGAGTGGCCTCCTACTATTACTGTGTTTTAAAGAGAAAACACTATAAATTTTGTGTTCTGGTCAGTAATTTTAGTGATAAAATATTTGGAGTGTGTGTATGTGTGTGTGTGTGTGTGTGTGTGTGTGTGTGTGTGTGTGTTTGGCGGCAGAGCACACCTGGCTGTGCTCCTGCATTACCCCGACTCTGCACTCGGGGATCACTCCTGGAAGGGCTGGGAGGTGGGGGACCATATGGGGTGCCAGGGATCGAACATGGGTCGGCCAGTCTGTTGTATGAGGCAAGCCCATCTACACTCTCACTCTGGGCCCCTCAGATTTGTGTTTTCTTTCTTTTTCTTTTTCACATGGAAAATGTTTTCTTTATTATGATTCATTTTGGATTACTCTTTTTTTCTTTTTGGTGAAACACCATGAGGTACAGCTGTAGACTTACAAACTTTCGTGCTTGGGTTTCAGTTATACAGTGATCAAGTACCCATCCCTCCACCAGTGCCCATTTTCCACCACCAGGGAACCCAGTAGCCCCCCCACCTCCCCATTCCCCCTCACCCCGCCCCACCTCTGTGGCAGAGATTTGTGTTTTCTTCTGGAGACCTCTCAGATGCAAAGGGAGATGCAAATTAGATGCGTTCTTTCTGAGACCTACACATCTGGGGAAATCATTTTCCGAGTATGTATTCTGGGACCGGCAAAACGAGAAGATTGAACTTACTTTGGACAGGATGATGAAGACCAGAGCCACACCAACAATGTAAATGGAGAGCAGTGCTAAGACAGCTGTCAGGAGACTCTGCACCGTCTTGCTGAGAATCTTGGTGTCTTTGGAAATTACAAAAAAAAAAAAAAAAAACCAAAGAAAAACAAAACAGAAAGAACGGGAGTCATCATTGAAACACATTAATGCAAATATTTTATGGGTCAAGTGTAAGTAGTCACAATAGAAATGACATAGACTCATTCTGCATGGCTCTTCACAGAATTCACAGAATGGTGAATTCAGGGTCTTCCGGTCCCAAAGATACTTAGTTATAATAGTAGCAAAGATACTTAGTTATACTAGTAGTTTAAGCCAGTACATCACTTCTTTACATTTAGTCTAGGCATACTAGTTGTTACAACCAGTACATCACTTTTTAAAATTTACTACATATTTAAAAAGAACACGATTTTAAAACTAGAAAAGTCCTAAGATATAATATTACTTAGTATAATCCTAAGAATCCCCGTTTATTTTTTGGTTTTTGGACCACTCCTGGGGGTGCTCAGTGCTTACTTCCTGGTCCTGCTCAGGAATCACTCCTGGCAGGGCTCGAGGAACCATATGGGGTGCCCGGGATCGCACCCCGTTCTGCTGAGTGTAGGACAAATGCCCTACCTGCTGTACTACCACTCCAGCCCAAGAATCACCTTTTATATAAAGCCTTTATATAAAAAAAATTTCTAGCAAGAGTTTGTTCAGTGATGTGTTTTCTATTTCCTTTGGTAGCAGCGGTATACGAGATCACCAAGAATTAGTTTATGGAGGTAACATATTTCCCCCAGAGCTTGTTAAGGCTGTAACAGTCTTGAACCATATGCTTGGCTGAATAGTGCTGTCTGCCAAAGAACCCGGCATGGCTATTCAGGAGGAGTTTTAGGGTACTTAACTGTGTGCTTAAAAGACAGGCGTTATCACATGCCACCCGTCTTTCTAATGTTGTAGAAGTAGAACTGGACTAGTGAATCCATTTCCACATTCTGGACGTATCCCTCATTGCAGTTAGTCTCCTGTACTCCAGGTAGGGATAAAATAATATGCACTACCTATACAATACAGTCTGATATACAAATATAATTTGAGTAGCTGGCGATTTTCAAATAAAGGTTCTATAGATACTTATCCTGTGAACTCAGCTTATACAATATATAGTTTTGTTGTAAGATTAGCTAACCAGCCATATCTGTAAACTTTAAAACAACACTTCAAGGGCTAACTTAGGATCTCTATAGAAAAGGCAGGAAGTAGCCATGTTTATCTCCACTACACTTGGATGCCTTAAAGGGTACCTCTTCTGGAGTCTGGAGAGAGTTCAGTGGCCGAGCATATGATTTGCTTATCGGAATGGGGCCGGGTTTGGTTTGATCCCAGGCACCACACACCCTGAGCAAATAAAAACAAAGACTTTTTTTTATAAAGGCTTGCAGACCTTCTTCATTTTACTACCTATTTTTCTTTTGACTAATATTTCTTATGCATAACTAATTCAGTATGAGCTACAAATCTCCAAAGTTGCATGTGTTAATATTTGTAATTAACATTTATGAGTACTTTTTGTGTAAGTCAGGCATAGTTAAAAGTGCCTAATATATATTAGCAGTTATAATTCACAGATAAAAATAAACTCAAGGTAAAAAACCTTGGGGGTATCAAATGCCTATTAAAAGCCTCCTGGTAATAAAAAGTAGGAGTAATAACACAAGGCCCCTTCCTGGCTTTTTCGTTTGTTCTTGGGGTGCCATGGATGAGCGTCGGGGCCTCATACATGCAAGGCGAGTGTTTCACCACTGAGCTGTGTCTTCAGCCCTCTTTAAGGAAAGAGGTCCAAATAAAGAAAAGGAAAGGAGTGACTCTTCCTCCCCAGAGCCACATGGTTCCTTCCCTCACAGTCCCGCCTCTCCTGAAAGTGTTTGTTTCTAGGACTTAGCCGGGCTTGTGGGTGCTCAGCCCTGGGAACATTGTCCGTGCTCTCAGTTCCTTTCAGCCAGCTGCTGCCCCTGCAGGGGGTATGGGCGCTGCCCTCAGGCGCCTGTCCCTGTGTTTTGTCATTCTTCCTTCACCTGATCCCCATCCCTGTGCTTCCTCTGGGCTTTGTTCTGGGTGGTCCAATCCCTGGGGCAGTTCCCAAGCAAGGTGCTAGAGCAGCAGTGTCCCTTCAGGCTGGGCCTGTCTCACTAGTTACTACACTGGGCGTGGGGAGAGAGCCCAGCGCCTGACATAAGCCCTAGTGCATTTCTCGAGGTTTGGAAATGGGGCCGGTGGTTCTCTATTATTATTATTTTTTTCTCTTTGGTCACACCCAGAGATGCTCAGGGTTTACTCCTGGTTCTGCACTCAGGAATTACTGTAGGCGGTGCTTGGGGACCGTATGGGATGCCTGGGATTGAATTTGGGTCAGCCACATGCAAGGCAAACGCCCTACCCGCTGTACTATCCCACTGCGCCCCCGCACCCCCCCCTTCTTGAATCTAACCCTCCCTAACCCTGCCCTATTCCTATAAGCAAAACATATAGGAATATAACCCAGGGCTCAGGCTCTGCCCACCCCGTTAGCAGCTTTCTCCCCTGGTCCCTGCATGCATGTAAAGAGAGCATCAGACCCCAGTTGACAGACCTCTTACCGCCAGCAGGGTCCCGTTGCCTGTCCGCTTAGCCCCCGGGTCCCCCGATGCTGCAAAGGCAATGCCACAGATGTAGATGGCGCTATCATTGGGGGCCACTTGGTTCACAGTGAGGAAAACTTGCTTCTCGGCCATGTTCTTCCTCTCGGTGAATTTCTCACTCTTGCATCCTTTTTCACACAGATTCTCGGGCTGGTGCGCCCCATAGCGAAACCACAGGCTGGTTGGGGGCTCCGGGGGGCAGCCCGAGGTGTCAAAGGAGCACTGCATTGTCACGGCCTCCTGCGTGTAGTCCACCTCGAGGTACGGAGGCTGAGAGATGGAGACAGTGCATTGGCCAGCGACACCTGTGTGGGGGCCGAGTGAGCAGTTAGCAGGCTGTCCTGGCAGGCAGTGACCTGACCATCACTCACCACTGTGCCAGCTCCCACGGGACTCCCATCCCCCCCACCCCACACACACACCTCTGCTTTACAGCTAGGCCTGGCGCCTGGGGACAGCCCCACGGAGCATCCCACAGAGTCAGTGGGAGCAGAGATGGGAGCCCGTGTTTGGAGGTTGAGGTGGTCAGAGTGGCAGTGGGCAGCGCAGGTCACTACCAGCCACTGGACCCGGGGCTGGAGCGAGTTTTGTCTTGTTGGGCTACTTGGGGTTTGTGGCGATGCTCAGTGGTTCCTGTTGGAACTTGGCCAGCCCAGTGGGGAGTGTTGTGAAAGGCAAGAGGTGCACCGGGGGCAGAGCCCGTGGACAGAGCCCGTGGACAGAGCCTGGGGCAGCCTGTGGCACCTTTGGTCTCTGTAGCACGGCTAGGAGCCTGCTGGCCCTTGCACCCTGGAAGCTGGACGAACAGTCTCCTGACCGAGACTGCAGACTTGAGTTGGGAGTCCGCCTTGGGGGTGTCCAGCTCTGATCTGTGCAGTTCAGTTTTCTTACTAGCAAAATGGGGCTGATACCACTTACCTGTGTGGCTGCAGGGATATGTGAGGGGGAGCCCCGATACACAGGGGCATCTGCTCAAGGGAGGCACGCCAGCCCTTCACAGAAGGCCGACAGCCCTGGGCCTCCCAGCAGGGTGGTGGTGGCACGGCCAGGCTAGACAGTCCACCCGCCATCGTGACAGCACCACTCTCTGGGTTATCCCACCACTCTCTGGGAGTTGAGTCCCACCGAGGCCTTCTAATCCCAGGGGTCCACGAAACTGGGAAGCCCCTCCCCCCACCTCCATCCCAGGAATTTACAGATGGGGAAGATCTTGCTCTTTGGGGTCAGGAGAGACTCTGTGAAGGGGTGTTGGCAGAGACAAATGAAATCTGTTTGCAGCTGTGACTGACTCTCCTGGTACACGTCTGCCAATGGGCTTACTTGTGAGTTTGTCCAAACCATCTCGTTGCTTAAGCTTCAGACCAGGATTTTTCACTGACTAAGTCTTTCTCTGAAGGCCTCATCCAAAGCAGAAGAGGAATTAGAACTGATGAGGCACATCTAGTCTGACCATGTTTTGTTTTTAGTAGTTGTCCAGTAAGGTGAGCCTGGGAGCTTCTAAAGGAGGTGAAGGGAGAAGCCCCCAGAGGCTGGTAGAGCACCCTTTTCTTGCTCGACCTCGTCTCCTACGGGTATAGAGAAATGCTGGACAGTGGACATTGGTTGGAAACGTGAAAGGAATTGGCCTTCCAGGGGGTAGCAGAGGGAGCCCTTGGGCTTTCTAGCTCACATCTTTCATCAGAATTTAATTGTATTTATTTTAGTTTGGGGGCCACACCTGACAGTGCCAGGGGCTATTTCTGACTCTTCACTCAACAGTTACTCTTATTGAGCTTAGGGAACCAGATGGAGTGCCAGGAATCAAACCCGGGCTGATGCGCCCCCCCCCCCCCCCCATGCTGCCCCGTTTTGTCAGTTTTTAAAAGAAAGCTGACTTTCAGCATGTCGCCAGAGAACCGAGGCCCTGGGGAAAACCAGGTATTTGCAATTTGGACAGTTCCTATCTGTGCTCCTTCTGTGAAATCCATGGTTAGCGGTTTCCTCAGAGCGTGCTGGCTCGCGAGGGCCCTACTGTTCCCACTCTGCCAGTTAAGTAACATCTTCGCAGAAAGGGGAAGTTGGGATGACTTGTCACACCACTGCCAGTTCCTATGAGAAGGCCTCTCTGAAAGTGGAGAGGGTTTTTATTTTAACTTTACTGGGTTTTGGGCTGCGCCAGCTATGCCCAGGGTTTACTCTTGCATTCAGGAATCACTCCTGGCAGAGCTCTGGGACCCTCAGAGATGTCGGGGATTGAACCTGGATCAGTTGCATGAGAGGCAAGCGTCCTCCCTGCTGTACTGGCACTCGGGCCCCATGTCACAACATACCTCTCAAAGAAAAGCTCCTTTAAAATAGCACCCGTTAAATTTCAGAAAAAACAACCCATCATTGAAAGGAGCACAGAACCACCCATAGTTCTTTCACCCCCACAAATGTCTCAAAAATTCTCACCCTCCCCCCAAGAAAAAAATAAATCACTCAAGGGACTGGAGAGATAGGACCGTGGGCAAAGCAGACCCAGTTTTGATCCCCCAACATCACATACGGTCCCCCTGAGTGCAGAGCCAGGCAGGAGTAAGCCCCGAGTACAGCCCAGCTGTGGCTCTTTGGACCAGCTACAAATTTTGGACGTAAGTTAGCCTGCTTATTCTTCTCTGGAAGGAGCCTTGGTATTTTTGATTTTTACAAGCACTTTAAGAAAATTTACAGGAATCCAGCTTTTCAGAAACACTGTTCTTTGAAAACACTCCGCGAGCGTTTGTTTTGTGCCTGTTGCGTGCAGGGTGAGGCTCCTCCATTAATAGCCAAATTGTGGACAGCCAGCACATGTGACTTTAAGGAACTGTTCAGACCTCTGGGATATGCTCTTCTAACAGCATAGCAGAAGCAAAGGAAATTTTCAAAGTCAGTGTTCCCCAGCTATAACTCAAGCAACTATCTTGCTTGAGAAAAAGGAAGCTTACTACCTAAGTTTCTATACTGTTATATATTTAAAAACAATCTAGGAGGATTAGGTTACAAATACATAAGGCAAATAACAGTGATGGATTGAAATAAGAAGTCTTACCGACATGAAATAGAATCAGGTTGATTTTCAGACCAAGGACAATCCTGGCCGTGCTCATGGTGTCCATCCTTCTGGGCGCACTCAGAAGCTCACACATATTTCAAGAGCTGGCATTTTTTTTTTTTTTAAGGAAGAACTGAAGAGGAACTCTTCTTCCGGAACCATAATCAGGAACTTATTGAAGTTGTGTAAAGATTGTAACCCAATTTCATCATTTTAAGTTGAGATTTTAGCTTAGAGCACATTTTTTGGTTTGTTTTGGGGCCACAGCTGGCCATCCTCGGGGGTTCCTCCTGGCTCTGCAGGCAGGGATCACTCCTGGTGGTCTTGGGGAACCATGTAGGATGCCTGGGCAGGCCCATGTGCAAGGCCAGCGCTCTCCTGCTGTCCGAACGCTCTGGCCCCAGAGCACATTGTTGAGTGTTCCTCGGGTGCATTCTTTCGTGGGTTTTGCAGGTCCTCGGGGGTGTGAGAGGTGTAGAGTGAGGCTTTGATTCTGGTGCAGCACAGGTGCGGGAGGAGGGAGTGTGGTGTGGTGGATGGATCGGATTTAAGTTTCCAGAGCCAGTCAGTCATGGGTCATGTACCTGCTGTGTGCCTCGTGCCACAGTGGCTGCTGGAACGTCTTCGTGTCAAGTCAAGGAAAAGTAGCTCGAGAGGCAATGGAGAGTGAGTTGTGGCATTAATTAGTCACGTCCTAGTTTTGTGTTGCCCCCTTTTCAGTGTGCTGTGAAACAGATTTGTAGGTGTTTTCTGGAGGGCTTCCCCCTCCTGCCCCTTGGAAGCAGCTGAAACTGATGTGGCCCAACTTGAGCCAAAGAGACCTTCCTGAAGAGGTGGGAAAGGCAGCTCAGGGGCGCGAGTGGGACTCAGGCATGTGCGGCGCTAAGAGGAACATCCCAGTCCATAGCTGATAGAGGGCCACCCCTCGGCCTGAGCCTGGCTCGCGCCTGTCAGTGCTGTCCCTGTCTGCCCCGGTGATCACTCTGGCTCAGTCCATGTGCCCGAGCAGCAGGGCTTCCCAAGGGCTCAGGCGTCCATGAAAAAGAACGAAAAACCTGTCCATTATAGTATTTGTGTTTTCGACCAAGAATGGCTCGTATGCCAAGAATATATTTTCCTGCTATACATTAAAACATCCTTGATCTAGTGTAGTAAAATGCTTTTAATATTATTTTGTATTGTTGTAGCATTTAAAAGTAATTATTTTTCGGGGCAGAGCAATAGTACACCAAGGAGGGCGTTTGCCTTGCCTGCGACCAACCCAGGTTCAATCCCTGACATCCCATATGGTCTCCCAAGCACCACCAGGAGTAATTCCTATGTGAAGAGCCAGGAATAACCCCTGTGCATATCTGGGTGTGACCCAAAAAGCAAAAAAAAAAATATATATATATATGTATATTTTCTCTGTATAGATTTATACAGCGCAGCGGGTAGGGCATTTGCCTTGCACGCAGCCAACCTGGGTTCAACTCCTCTGTCCCTCTCAGAGAGCCCGACAAGCTTCCGACAGTATCCCGCCTACATGGCAGAGCCTGGCAAGCTCCCCGTGGCATATTCGATATGCCAAAAACAGTAACAACAAGCCTCACAATGGAGACGTTACTGGTGCCTGCTCGAGCAAATCGGTGAACAGCGGGAGGACAGTGCTACAGTGCTAGATATACATACACATGCCCATGTATAATGGCACACCTATACTATTTGTGTGGCATCCTGTGCAGTCACTGCTTGGGATGTCAAGTCCTTAAAGACCTTATCTGCTCTGCCCCCTTTCTCTGGACCCCCAACTATCTTGGGCATCTGATGCTCGTAGGTTTGTAATTGGCTACCATAGACTTTAGTCACATTGGAGAAAAGTTAGTTGAGTCATTCATTCTAATGTTAAAGCTTTTGGTTCAGCAATTTTCATCAAATTGTTCTAATAGGTTGGGGGTGATGGGTTAGATGAGTTTCCCTGAAAAAAGAAAAAGAAACAAAAAAAAACCTACTGGTGATGTTCCTATACATTCAGATCCTTAAACATCTAGTTTTTATTTTCAGTCTGATAATCTGATTAATACATTGCATGCATTTACTACATCAGTGTTTTATTATATTCATTCAAAACCTTCAAATATATTACTCTTTTTTTAAAAATTTTTATTAGTGAGACACCATGAGGTACAGTTGTAGACTTTCAAATTTTGTGGTTGGGTTTCAATTATACAATGATCAAATACCCATCCCTCCACCAGTGCCCATTTCCCACCACCACGAATCCCAGTATCCCTCCCACCCCCCATCATCCCCATCCCACCCTGCCTCAGTGGCAGGGCATTCCCCTTTGTTCTCTCTCTCATTTTGGGTGTTGTGGTTTGCAAAAGAAGCATTGAGTAGCAATCATGTTTGGTCTGTAGTCTAGTTTCAGCATGCTTCTCCCATCCTGGGAGGATCCTCCCAAGGCCCTTTATTTGGTGCTCCCTTCTTTATCTGAGTTGCCTTTTTCCCTAGCATGTGTGGCTGGCCTCCAAGCCATGGAGCAAAATTCCTGGTACTAATCTCGGCCATTCTTGGTTGTTAGTCTCCTATTTTGTTACTTTATGTTCCCCAGATGAATGCAATCTTTCTATGTCTATCCCTCTCTTTCTGACTCATTTCGCTTAGCATGATACTTTCCATGTAGTACCACTTGTATGTAAATTTCATGGCAAGAAAGGGACCTTCTTTCACTGCTGGTGGGAATGCCGACTGGTTCAGCCCTTTTGGAAGACAGTACGGACGATTCTCAAAAAATTTGAAATTGAGCTCCCATTTGACCCAGCAATACCACTCCTGGGAATCGCAGAACGGCAAAAAAGTATAGTCGAAGTGACATCTGCACTTGTTTGTACATTGCAGCACTCTTTACAATAGCCAGAATCTGGAAAAAACCTGAGTGCCCGAGAACAGATGACTGGTTAAAGAAACTTTGGTACATTTACACAATGGAGTACTATGTAGCGGTTAGAAAAGATGAAGTCAAATATATTACTCTTTGCTTACATATTCTGATACTCAGCCAGCGAGTTTTCCAAAACCATTCAAGCACCCTCCCAGTTAGCCTCAGGGAGGTAATATCGGAAACTCTGTTAGAGGAAATAATGGTCTGGGCCACAGGGCCCGAGAAACCTGGGTCAGTCACGTTGCTCTTTTCATGAACCTCGTGAGCGAGCTTTGGCCAGTTCTTGCTCTGTTCTCTGTGTTATCTCTGTCCCCCTCACAGATGATTCATCCTGACACACACCCGGTCGTTGGCAAGTACTATTCTTCCCCACTTCCCTCTTGAAAGGACTTGTCCGTTCAAGAATTTAACTGAATATTTCTGTTTGTTTTAGTAGGTGGCAAGTGGGAGAAACCATCGGAAATTTTGGAAATCAAGGGACAGAATTGGGAAGAGCAAGTGAACAGCCTGCCCGAAGTCTTCAGAAAAGCTGGTTTTGTGATCGAAGCTTTCACCAGACTGCCGTACCTATGTGAGGGCGACATGTACAATGACTACTACGTGCTGGATGACGCAGTCTTTGTCCTCAAGCCGGTGTAGACGAGGGAGTGGGGGGTGGGGGGGCCAAGTCTCCACAGTCTGCCTCAAGAATGTCCACCTGAGAAGAGGGGCAGCATTCATGACTGTGTGGAGGGAGGAACATTGGGGGCTGCCGTTCTGAATATCATGTAGGAATTAAAAAAGCCAAAATACTAATTATTTCTTTGTAGTGTGTAAAAGGAATGTTTTTAAAAAAACAAAAATGCAACTCGTTGAGGATTTTTATCAGCTCTCTACTCAGTAATGCAGGTCACATTCCAGTGATGGAAGATATTTTTTATACTTAATCGCAGTAGGGATTCGTTCCCAGGCAGAGTACTTGTCCCGGCTCCAACAGAACCAGTGCATATGGATTGTTTATACTAAAAGGAAGACTGGCAATAAAGCTGCCCATTCAGTCACGAATATTGGTTATAAGGTGTAGCCACTGATACTCTTTCATGTTTAGAAATTCTTTCTGTCATTATTCAAGAAAATGTTTTTAATCATGCTAATAAACTTTTTGGAGATGACTTTTGGCATTTGTTATCACTGGAAAGTGCCCCTCACTTGTTCTGTGGCTTTGGATTCAGGGATGCCCGGTGTAGTAGCATCGCGTGAAAGATGCAGTTGATTCGAGTCAAATGCAGGACAGCTTCAGACTGGGGTTGAGGCAGGGAGGAAAGGAGATTCCTGCAGATCATGGCAAAAGACTCATTCTCAGAAGAACCATCAACCCCACTACCAGTTCAAGCTGCAGAACACTGACTTCCTGTTTCCAACAGTTCTACATCCTACAAATTTTGCTTTTCTGGACAATATCAGGTCCTCAGAATAGGAAACATTCCATTGTATCTCCCAGTAAGACGCGATCTAAAAACATTTTCACTTAACTTCTTACTTTCCACTTGCACATGAAGTTCCTACAACCTGAATCTGCCTGAAATCCTAAACCGAGTTTAGCGTTTGCCAAGAACATGGTTTGGTTATGACCATGTCAGACTCAGATGTTCTAGAATCCGTGAGCGCCTCCAGCCATATACCCCAAAATGTTGCAGCAAGGAACTCATTAGCAGGATCAGTAACCATTGTGGATATTCCATGGAGCAGAGCACTTAACCCAGAATCTAAAATTTTAGTAATAACAAAGATGTTGAGATTGTGGTTATTAACAATATGTTGTTCTCACAACTTTATTCTTTTTTTCACCCAGGTGTTTAATTAAGTACTCTCATTTATGTGCTCATAGAAGTCATCGAATGAACATTTACTGCAACACCTGGATCTAAAGGAGAATTAAAGCCTTGAGAAGAATTTCTTTATTGTTCATTAAGAATAGCATTCCCGCACCTCACACCAGTCTCCTCTCTTGCTACTGTGGATAGTCATAATAAGAATTGGGTTATGTGATTCATGCAAAGGTATTATTGGTACATTCGAATGGATTTTTTTTCTTAGGAATTTAAGTGAAGTACAAATACCACCCTAGACTGCAAAAGTAGAAAGAGAGAAATGAGTAAACAAAGTAGTTGGTGTGCAGTTGGGTTTTGCTTTTTTTCCCTTTATAAACTGACACATCAGGTGTTGACTGCCGAATAAGAAACGCAAGAGTGGGGCTGGAACGATAGCTCAGCGGGTAGGGTGTTTGCCTTGCACATGTCCAACCCGGGTTCAATTCCCAGCATCCCATATGGTCCCCTGAGCTGGTACCGCCAGAAGTAATTCCTGTGCATCGCCGGGTGTGACCCAAAAAGCAAAACAACAACAACAACAACAAAAAAACAGGTTCCCAAAGTGTTTCATACTTTAAAAAAAAACTGGGAATTTATTTGAAGGCTTAGTAATAATAATAATAACAAAATACCTCATTCTTTATCCTAAAGAGCTTAGAAAGTCATTTATGTACTTGAAAGATGAAAAACAGTTTCTTGAAAATGAAGTTCTCTGAAGACTAGCTTATTAAATGTGCCATTTTACAGAGAAAACCATGAGTTTTTTATTTTATTTTTATTTTTAGTATTTTTAGTTATTTTTAAATTTTTATTAGACACCATGAGGTACAGTTGTAGACTTACCAATTTTTGTGCTTGGGTTTCAATTATACAATGATCAAATACTCATCCCTCCACCAGTGCCCATTTCCCACCACCACGGATCCCAGTATCCCTCCCACCCCTCACCCCCTCATCCCACCCGGGGTCTTACCCGGGGTTCTTGACCTGGTGGTGTACCATTGGCGCCACTAGATGGCGTGTTGCTTACTGAGTGTCAGTAGCTCCTGAATGGGGTTTTCTTACCCAGACAAGTGTGTAACAAAGCTGCCTTCTCTCCGCACCATTCCTGTGTAAGTGCTTCCTATCAAGTTAAGGTGATTCTAGTGAAAATTAAGAAGAAGCATTTGTGGATTAAGCTAGCAAACCAACTGACCTTAAGGGTCACAGAGAAAGGCAATTCCAGCTGCACCTGGGAGTCACAGCACCACACCTGCACTTGCTGGCCCCATGGGCATCTAGGGAAAGGGAGAAACTAAGATGTGACACCCCTAGTCACGCTCCCTGTGCTGGGGGCTTAGAAGAGATCTGTTTTCTCTGCTCCTCTTTGTGCTGTATCATTTTTGGCATAGTTGACCCTTGAACAGAAAAATGGCTGGGCTTGGAAAGAAAAAGTCATTTCAGGCTGGCTTTCTGAGTGAACTGTTTCCACTTCTTTTGTAGGGTATTGAGACGCCCCGTGACGCACAGTGCTTTCACCATTCGCTTCCCACTCCTAGTTTTTCAGGATATTCCCCCGATTATACAGCATTTCAGCACAGCTTTCAGTGACTTTTGACACAGATGTGTGCCCCCCCCCCCCCCATACGCAACGCACAGCTGGAGCACGGGGTACTGACTCAGGGTTGCTTGGTTGAGTTGTACTGCCCAGGAGTCCACTGAGCACAAATGCAGGCTTTCAGCTAGAGAAACAGGATGCTCACATACCATACCGATAATCAATTTATCAAAGACTTGCTGGCAGAGTATTTGCGCAAAGAAATATTTGTGATCCCAGTGAAGAATGCACCCAGAATCATTAAGGAAATATTGCTGCAATAGAAAACCCAACAGCCTGCCTTTTTGCAATTTGTGGGTGATGAGAGGCTAGGATTCAACCATGAATAGTGCAATAAAAAAAAGTCACATCTCTATCTGGGTGTAATTCGTGCTGCATGGTTTGCTAACTTCTCTGCTACATTTATTTGTGTTGTCCTGGTCTTCTGTGCAGAGATTTCATTTCACCTTTTAGTTGTTACTTTCTGAAAATACTTTTAACTACTTACTTTGGGAGTGACAACACAGCAGGTAAGGCATTTGCCTTGCACGCGGCCGACTGGGCTGACCCGGGTTTGATTCCTCCGCCCTCTTAGACAGCCCGGCAAGCTACCGAGAGTATCTATCTCGCCCGCATGGCAAAGCCTGGCAAGCTACCCGTGATGTATTTGATATGCCAGACACAGTAACAACAAGTCTCACAATGGATATGTTACTGGTGCCCGCTTGAGCAAATCGATGAACAACAGGAGGACAGTGCTCGGTGCTAATGTCAGATTTACAGAAATGTTGCTGAGTTGGTGAGAGATTTCGGATGTGGTAGCATTGTCCTGGAGTAGCATGTCACTTCACTCTGTTATGTTTATCAGAACAAAAAAATTTACATTGGTGCATAGTGAACGATTGAGGAGATTGCAGGCTCCTGGGATTCGTTAACCACTTTCTGCTTTAGGATCCGATTCAGCATCCTGTTTGGCTTCTTTTTATTAGTGACACAGTATTATCTCTTTTTTTCTTTCCAATTTTCTTCCTGTAACATACACAGAATTTGCCAACTTGACAGTTGGTAAAACAGAATTTACCATCTCAACAATTTTTAGGGCTCTAGTTCAGCATTATTTGTCCATTCATGTTGTGCAAGCACATCACCATCCACCTCGAGACCCTTTCGTCCAGAAAACTCAGCTCTGGGCACACAGAAACGCAAACTCCATGCTCCAGATCAACCACTCGACTTCTGGATTCTTTGCGGCACCTCGTTTCAAGTGAAACTCATAAAATGCCTGTTTTTTGTGATGAGTATTTCCTTGGTGTTTCCATGTTTCATCTATGCTATTCCAGAGTTTCCTTTGTACATTACGGATAGTACAGTAGGAGAGTACGGCTAGGCTGATGGTACATTATGGATGGATCACATTTTACTTACCTAGTCCCTTCCCAGTGGGCACTTGGCCTGCTTCTCCCTTGTACCTTAGGTGAGTAATGCCGTGTAGATATGTCAGCAAACTTACCTGTTTTGGTTTCTGTCTTTGCTTCTGGGTTTATAGCCGCAAGCAGAATTGTTGTATAATATCGCAATTTTGTTTACTTTTACTTTTACTTTTTTTTTTTAAGGAATTGCCATACCTTTTCAGCACGGTTTTAGTTCCCATATAGTTTTTCCAGATCCCTACTGCTGCTTGTTCTTTTCTGTTTTCTAGGCGGTAACTACTCACGTATGTGTGAGACGTGTGGTAGCTCGTTGTGGTTTTGAATTGCATTTTCCTAATGTTTTTATTCAACAGCTTGTATAGATTAGGTTTCATTCACTGGCCATTTGTATTTTCTCACTTGCTAGCTCTGCTGATATTGTAGAGCTGGAATCCATGCACAGTGATTCCAAAGTACTTTTATTTTTGGCTATGAAATTTTGTATGTTTGGAGAGTAAGGGAAATACTACATAACCAGAAATTAAGATTTCCCTTGGATTTGAAAATCCAAGCAAATTTGAAAATTTGCTGTGTTCGTGTGAATTAAAGATTGTATTTTTTTTATAACAAGGCCATTTTTCAGTTCCTTTCAATACATATAAAATGAAAAGTAAAGATTTGCTCCTTCCCCCTGCCTGCCTCCCAAATGACCATGTAAAATTGGGATGTCACACACCTGCACTCAAATTATGGAAATAATTAAGAACAGTCAGAATTCCTAAGTTCTTGTTTTGGGTGTTCTTTTTTTCCCCTCCATATATCCTGTTTGGGGGCCAACACCAAATACTGGTTTAAAACGCCTTTCAAATGAGGAACTGAGGTGGTTGGAAAAATGCTGTGGCAGTTTTTATACTTAACAGACAAAATAGACTTGCATGTATTTTCACCACCTTGCTTTTGTTTATATTATTTTTAAGGTGACTCGTAACAGACCATAAGGCCCCTCTGGGTTGCATTATTAGCACCATTTTTGAGAAAAAGTTAAACATTCTGACTGATGAAACAAAGCAAAGACACATAAACTCTGTTCATGCCCCTACCTGCACAATCATCCAATTTTTTTTTTTTTTTTTTTTTTTGCTTTTTGGGTCACACCCGGTGTTGCACAGGGGTTACTCCAGGCTCATGCACTCAGGAATTACTCCTGGCGATGCTCGGGGGATGATATGGGATGCTGGGAATCAAGCTCAGGTTGACCGCATGCATGGCAAATGCCCTAAGCGCTGTGCTATTGCTCCAGCCCCAATCATT